ATTGGAATAACATTAAACGTTACCAACTTGTGTTGCACCAGATGCGCTTTTTGGCTTTTTGACAATTAATGCCTCTACAGTGATGTCAGTTTGGCAATTTGACAAGCTAGTGACATGGGCTGTTTAAATTGGTGTGCTTTTGTATGAAAGTAGGACTATAACATAAAACACGTCTTATATAATGTTAAATTGCGTTTCTAGAAAAATCCGTAAACATAATTTGGTTTAAACATGACATGCTATTGTTGTAAAAATTTCCGTATTACCTTAAAGACATTAAAACATTATATCATCGTATTTGGGTTTTTTTTCAGAAGGAAGTTATTGGTCTCGATATGAAGCGTGAACAAATGAAGAAACGACAAAAAATCGTAACGTCGTAACGTATGCTACAAAATCCCAGTTTTTAATGTTTGATCATTCATCACTAACTAAATATGAGTCCACAAATATTTTCATATCGTTTTTATCAGCGGATTTTAGAGAAAAGGGCATCTTAAGTTAAATACAATACAAATATGAGCGGCGTTTTACACACATTCCATACATGTTTTACTGCACCGGGTCTATACTGCTGCTTGTGGACTATTAACTTCTATGTCAATTGATCTCTAGTGGAAAGTTGTTTTTTAATTGGCAATCATACAACATCTTCTTATTTTTATATCAGTCCCCGAGGGTATCATCAGCTCAGTAGTCCGGACTATGGTACTGAGATGATTTATAACAAACCATCTAAAAAAGTTGTACGTTTATGAATTTAAAAAATATTAAGAAACTTAACTTTCAACTCCCGCTGAGAAAGTTGATCTTAAATGGATATTGCTATTTATTTAGGTCCTTTTTAGTCATATAGCTCTTCAAATGTTTTGGTTGTAATACATCCTACATCCTTGGCTTTCAAATATTCGAATGTGAGAATTCCTGATGAAGGTAAATCCAGAAAAGCGCTTCAGACAAATGAAATTAACAAAGTATAAAAATAAGAAGACCATTTTTATAGAGCTTTCTCAAATATTCAATTGACTACATTGTGTATCTCTGGAAGCATGAATGCTATATTTGTCATATTTTTGATATTCAGATGATGTTCAAAGATTTCTAAATGTATACCAAATTTCGAAACGTATACGTATACCCAGCTTAAACCTCAAAGTAGTTTAAACAATCATGAGATGATCAAAAATAGAAAATAGCGAACGGGCAACAAGTGGGGGCATTCGTACAAGTACCCTGTGCGACATTAACACAACAATACGAGGAAATATTATTACAACATTCTTTGACGTCAATTTGAAATGAAAAATCCTGAGTTTTTAGTTCTACTGACATGTTAACAGAATCAAGTCAAATTATAAAAAGGATATTGTCATTTTATTAAGAACAAAGTACGGTACTTTTAATATCAAATTAAATATCGGCTATTTTCCATCCAGCAAATGAACTTCTAATATCTTTATCAGCGAATATATTTCCGTGAACGGCATAATTTGAACTGGTCCTGACGAAAACGGTGTCGCCAGTGTTCAAAGTAATAACTGAGACTGGTGTTGTGCCACAAAAACTTGGTCCTCTGTGATCTGTATAGATTTGAGATACTATTTCACTATTCTTAAAGATGTTTACTCCTAAGTAGCTATTGCGGTCTGGAAAGAGTGTAAAAGTGATTGCGTATATTCCATTCTGTGTAGCAGTAAACACCCCTGTGTGATTGTTATAGCAATTTCCTACGTTTGTAATTATGCGGTCAAAAACTATTGAATGGTGATGACCAATATCCTTCTCTGGTATGGTAAGCTGGGCATAGAATGCTACAGAAGAGGACTTAACTGGTATACTGGCACTCAATAACCTACTCGCTGAAATTGTAATGGTGATTATTGTTAAATGACGATGGTAATATTGTAAATTATCACTTTATAATTTAAGAGCTGCTATGCTAGCTGACAAGATTTATCATCGAGTTGGTATTTTTCTATAAATTCATTGTTTATCAAATGTTAAAATCATTCGAAACACTGATGTTTTCTACCTAGAGCATAACTGGCCCTTTCTTGATGTGGCACAATCATTTCAAATTTTGCCATTCAATGCTCTTCATCCCAATTGATTTGTTTTCCATCTGTTCTATTTCGAGTACCACTGATGTGTTTGTATATCAATATTTTGGTTTTCAATGCTCTTCAACCTGATTCATTTGTTTTTCCAATTGTTTCATTTTTGGTACCACTGATGTGTTTGTATAGACGAAACCCATCTGGTTTACGCAATTATAAGACTGGTGTCCTTTATAATAATTAACTCGCCAGTTCTATTCGAACTAAGTTGGTTGCCTGTTATTCCCTCAAGAATTTCTTAAAAGAAGTCAATGTATATTGACTGCAGTATAACTTTAAATGTACTGCCTTTTATTGCATACGTTTTAGTATACTGATCGGGATTTATAAATGAGGCTGGATTCAGGTATCAAAACTAGCTAAACGCTCTCATACATTAAATTCAGGAACCTCGGTGGTAGATGTCGCATGTCATCTTAATGTTTTTTACTAACGATGTTATGTTGCCCTCGTAAAATCTTTTTATTTTTAGTTGTGTTGGGTTGCTGTCTCATTGAAATATACCTCATATCATATTCATAATTTAAAAAGTGTATCTCCTATTTATCAATTTGTTTAAGTGGCCTCGGTGGCCAAGTGTTCTAAGTAGTCGAACTACTTTATCACTAGCCAGTCAACACTGAGGTTGTAAGTTCAAATCCCGCACCGGGCAGGTCCACTCGACTCTAATCTTAATTGACTAGGATTGTCAGTTTTCCTATCGAAGGTCGATGGTTCTCTCCGGGCACTCCGGCTTCCTCCACCAAAAGCTGACCGTCACGAAATAGCACAATAGTGTTGAAAGTGGCGTTAAACACCAATCAATCAATCAATCAATTTATTTATAAAATTATTACGTATGTTACCTCTTGCTTTATCTTCAACAGGTAAATCAGTTTTATGGTTTACTTTGGCCACTTTTGGTTTCCTCAAAAAATCCTTGCTTTGGTTTGTCACTTTATCATTTCCAGTATCAACAAGCTTTACGTCCGTATACAGTGTATGCAGTTTTGTAATGACATCGTTTAACCTAACTATTTCCCCTTTTTGGCTTTTGACTGTCGATTTTAATTCATAAATTTCATTTCCTTGAAATTCTAAAATTTTCTCGATATGTTTGATTTTTGAAAATAATTTTGTTTCAACTGAATTTCCTAACACTACCAACACAAACGACGCTGCAAACAGTAAACGTAAGACGCACACAGCCATTATGTTGAACTGATTTATCAGGATTTCTTTCTAATAAATGTAGTCCTTGACATCAATATTATCTTACGACTACACTTTAGATAACTTAACTTACTCTCTCAAATGAACTTATTTCTTATCATATTTTCAAAGTAAACCAGAAAGTAAAGACATGCTTTTTTGAAAATATTTAGTGTACGTATATGTATCCAATACGGAGTATTGAACTCCGTTCATTTTAAAATCACTTAATATATCCTTTTGTATTTTAGTGTAATTAGTTGTTATTATGAGTCTTTAAACCAAATAATGAGTCTTTAAACCAAATGAAGACGAGAACGATATAAAATATATGCATATGCATGAACACAAACATACATATGGACATTTATTTACCATAGTGTCCATAGTCAAATACTGATCAAAACTGTCTTCTGAATCATATACATGGCCCGGGTATTAGTGCCGAATATAGTCTATCCTCAATTCCTTCTTGTACAGTTATATATAGCATCACTATTACATTTTGACGTTTGTCGCCTTGACGTTTGTCGCCTTGACGTTTTCGATCTGTATCAAATATTAGGGCTAACTGTCTTTGGTCAAAAACAATACGTAAACCTCTAATATATATTGATTGTGGTGTTTTGGCCATTCTGCCTAATTAGCGTGTACCCCAAATTCTTGTGGTATAACAATTTTTGTCCAACCTTAGTCAACAAGATCAAAGTTTAAACTGTTATTGTTTAGTTAAAACAATGAATGTTCAATCAGTTAAATTGAGGTCTGGAGCTGGCATGTCAGTAACTGCTAGTAGTCCTTTGTTAATTTATGTATCATTGTCATTTTGCTTAGTTTCTTCTGTTACATATTCTGACATCGGACTCGGACTTCTTTAAACTGAGTTTTACTGTGCGTATTGCTGTGTGTTTGTTTATTCTACATTGGCTAGAGATATAAGGGGAGGGTTGAGATCTCACAAAACATGTTTAACCCCGCCGCATTTTTCCGCCTGTCCCAAGTCAGGAAACTCTGGCCTTTGTTAGTCCTGTATGTTTTTTTTAATTCTAGTTCATTTATATGTTTCGGAGTTTAGTGTGACGTCCATTTTCACTGAACTAGTACACATTTTTGTTTAGGGGCCAGCTGAAGCCCGCCTCCGGGTGCGGGATTTTCTCGCTTTGTTGAAGACCCATTGGTGGCCTTGGTCTGGTTTCTGCTCTTTGGTCAGGTTGTTGTCTCTTTGACACAATCCCCATTCCCATTCTCAATTTTACTTAACTGGGTTATTTTGAAGAAAACACACATTGTCTTAAAACGGTCGGCAAAACATTATACAAAAATTTAACAAATGCAAAACGATTTTGTGAAATAAAAAGGGAATCAAATAAAACAAGATTCAAACGGATAATCACATGACATTTACACGATATTAATAAAGTAAATCACTAAATTACAATACAATAAGAGACAAGTTTGTATAAAAGCAAAACAATTAAATAACTGATATATCTGTCCTAATTTAATTTTAGTTAATGCAAATATGCCATGATGAAAACACAGGTTTGGTTTTATCTTAATTTATTTTTGTTAAAGCGGGCATATATGTCAATTTACTTGTTCCACTGTTTTCCACAAATCAAGTAATAGAAAAAAAATTTAAAACCTCCTATTAATTTCAAATATTTGTATTTCCCGCTTTTCATCAACTGTTCCAATTTCACAGGTAAAATAAATACATTTACTTTAGAACGACGCATTAGATATTGGAAAAGACGGACAGAAAACGTCAGGTAATGTATACTCTATTAAGTGTAATTAGTGTATTTGCTCAACAAGATATTTTAAGAAGAGAAAATAACATACATTTACAACAAATTATTATTGATCAACAAATAAGCTTGGACTTCCTAGTTACCAAAGTTATCGTAAACAAATCGAGCAATAAACACTATTCAGGAAACTTGAGTGTAGAATTTTCTTTTTAATGGAGTGCTTTTGTTTATTTTTATCAAATTTTGAAATTTGGCCCAAGCCTTTTGTTAGATTGGAGTGTACATGTGTTGTCTAATAATTCACTTTCTGTTTTTTATTCTCGGATCTAAAATGTGGATGGTTTCAATCTTCATTAGGAGGGCATCCGATACGCACCTCTTACTTGACATTTTAAAATATATTTTTATTTCCATTATAATCCCGTCCATGTCTTCTGCTAAGGTCTACTAAACTGAGGCTGTATATGTTACATTTTGTGGTGACTTATATTCCGTCCTCCTTTAGATATGTACTTATCACAGCATGCGACTAAAAACAGTTGTTGTAATTGACCTGAGCAACACCACGGGTGCAACTCATGAAACGAGAATTGCTTACTATTTCGTTATTTATCTCATTTTTCCTGTGGAGTTCATGTTTCTCAATTTGTCGTTTACTAATTACGATCAATTACCATTTTGATGACTTATTTGATTTTGTTTTTGTCTAATTCTTTTCTTAGTATAGGAGGTTTTTATTCGACCTATCAATTTCGAATTGACTCTAGGTATATTCCTGCTTATTGGTCCGTATTCAACATCTCCCTGGAAACTGTAAAAAGCTATCACAAAAAATTCCTGTCCAAAAACATATTATTCATTTTTTTAATCTTTTCCAAATACAATATTTGTTATCTTCTGTTTCAGATCAGTCATGGCATCAATTTCACAATGCCAAATATGTTCTAAACTTGATAAGTCTGTTCCAGCTGATAAATGGTGCACGGATTGTGAGCATTTTCTTTGTAATGAATGTGTTACTGTGCATAAGGAAAGTCGAGTGTCACAGCCGCATCGTATTATTGACGCTGAGACTCTGACATTGCCCAAACAATGTGCAAGTCATCCTAAGCTGACATTGGATTTCTTTTGTACACAGCATGATATTCTCTGTTGCGAAATGTGCATATCGGATAATCATCGGTCTTGCGATAAAGTCGATACGATTCAGGTAGCTTGCAAAAACGCAACGATTTCGACTCTTTACCGAGATACAGCTGACGGAATGAAGCAAATACTTGAAACACGCAACCGTATTATTCAAAACAGAACTGAAATAAAAGATAGGGTTGTTCAAGAAGAGAATGACATTGTGAGAAAGATTGCAAAAGTGAAGGAGTCGCTAATCCAACAGCTTGATGATATGGAAAATATCATTCGATCAGAGCTGCAGATTGCACGAAAGAATGCTGTAAAGTTATTGGAAAATGAAAAAGTCAATTCCAAAAAATCTGTTTCAAAGTTAGAAAAATATTTAACACAACTGGACGTTTTTACCAAAAAAGGATCAGATCTGCATGTTTTCCTTCTTCTGCATGAACTGCAGCCCATCGTCAGCGAAGAAAATTGTTGTCTTGAGAATATTGTTCCTAATCTTTCCGAACCTCGCTTGATATTTCTAGAACCCAATCAGAATTTTGTGGAAGGTAAATGGTTAGGATCTGTTACTATAAAAGAAGAAAAGTCAGGTCTGCAATATTGTCCATCTAAGCATATGCAGGCTCAAATTATCTCGGCTCCAAAATCTTTCAAGCTTTGCGATCGCATCGGTCTCAAAAACGGTGACGTCACTGGTCTTACAACTGACAGTAATGATAACCTAGTTATTACAAGCCGCGATCGTCTGCTATCATATAGTAAAAATGGAAAATACATTAATGAATGCAAGCTAGGCAGTGATGCGTGGGATGTGTCATTTCATTCAACGTCAGGAAATGTTGTTGTAGCATTGCAAGAAAACGGTATACAACTGGTAAATAATTTTACCCCAGGACGCGTCGTTAAATGTAAAAATGCTGTTTTTGGTGTTTCGTCCGGCAACGAAAATATTTTCGTCGGTGATACTAAGGGGAATTTGCATATATTTAGTTCTGAGCTAAGACACTTGAAAGCGTTAAAGTTTGGTAGGGACGATTTTTATTATGTACATTACAGAAGAAATAAAATCTATATTTCAGAACCTATTTCCGATGTAGTTCATTGTATAAATGATGACGGGTCTCCTATTTTTAATTTCACTTCATCCACATTAGAAATGCCCAATTGTATAGCAACGGACCGTCCAGGAAATGTGTACGTCGTTGGCCGTGATTCAAACAATATTCATCGTCTGTCTAAAAATGCTAAGAAGAGTGAAGTTGTGTTGGGACCTGAAGATGGATTAAAAGACCCGAGTGCTATTTGTTTTAGTAAAGATTATAGCAAACTATTTCTATCAAATGAAGATGGTGCAAGTGTCTATGTATATGAATGTCAATATTAAAATCAAAAGATTTAACATAAAATCTAAGGAAAACAATCTTCTGTCTTGACAGATATCATTTTTACAAAAGTAATAGATAACATGAACTGCTATTTTACAAGATGCCGGGGTTTTCTTATTTGTATTTAATTACTATAGTATACAGATATTGTATACAAGTTTTCAGAACAGTTTTCAATCCACCAAAAGACAAACAGCAGTCTACAACACACAACGTAGAAAACTAAAGACTGAGCAACACGAATATAAAAATAAGAAGATGTGGTATGATTGCCCATGAGACAACTCTCCACAAGAGACCAAATGCCACAGAAATTAACAATTATAGGTCACCGTACGGCCTTCAACAATGAGTAAAACCCATACCGCATAATGAGCTATAAAAGGCCCCGAGATGACAATTGTAAAACAATTCAAACGAGAAAACTAACGGCCTGATTTATGTACAAAATAATGAACCGCAACAAACGACAACCATTAATTACAGGCTTCTGACTTGGGACAGGCACATACAGAATGTGGCGGGGTTAAACTAGTTTGAAGGCGCCAACCCTCCTCCTAACCTGGGACAGTGGTGTACCAGTACATAAGAACAAACCATAAAAATCAGTTGAAAAAGGCTTGACTCATCAGATAGATACAAAGCAGAAATACATCTAACAAAAACACAGAGTGGACGTGGCAGGGTACTTATATATCCCCACAACAAAAAGACACTAAGTGCAGATCTGAGAGTTCTCGCAATTACTGACAGCTAGTTCAAAGCTAATAACAACTAATAAATGAATCACGCATCAAAGACTAAAATACACATCCAACATCCAGTGTAAAGACATCATTAACAGTCAGAGAAAACATGACCTTGTGCAATGCCAAGATACAGGTATCGACAGATTGTAGAGCCATGAATGTGCATATGTATATAAAAATAATATTTAGTTTGATTTTAATTTACTAATAACAACGTCAATATCAATACCAATAAAAACAATATTCAAAGATCTAATTATAGTGTTGAATTGGTAACCTTTTAGAATAAGTTTATTTAAAGGATAAAAAAGTTAACCGGGATCGCATCTAAATTTCCGGGCTTGGTGAACACATCTCCGTAAAAATTAGGATGTGCTCTCCCGTTTGAAAGAAGTTTCTACTTGTACAACCAAACTTCCAAACCAAATCTTTATATCTATGGAAGCTTACATAACATTAACGGTGCCAATTTTAATGCACAAAATGCGTTTTTCGATAATCAATGTCTCTTCAGTGATGCTCGAAAATAAAAAATTTGAAAAATCCAAAACCTAATACAACCGTTGAAGAGCTCTTAAAACCAAAAAGGACATAATTATATGATAACATAATAAAGCTATAAAAAGGCAGTCAGTGTTAGAAAAAACTCATTTTTACTGTTCACATTTTAATGTGTTTATACTATCGGATCACGGTTTCTATGACCATAATTGTAGAAACCTTGACAAGTCAATTTCGATTATGCACAACGATTTGCGAGTATACAGTTCTCACTGTTATATGAAACTCCAAATAAATTAGCTAGTTAATTAAATGATTATTTAACGTTATCTGAGTAATAAATGAGTTAGTCTATGTAAATCAAGGATTACCACTGCGTCTAAGGAAGGAAAGTACAAAAAATTCACACCCGGGTTATGGTAGGGTTCGTCTTGCTCAATCTCTTTGTTTTCTGTGAAGTCTTTTGTAGACTTCGTCTCTTTTTGTTTGGCTATGGTATAGTTTTTCTTCGTATAATGGTTTTGATCAGCCTTGTTATCTTCTCTCCCTTTTTGATATAAAAAAATATATATTAAGAAATTTACAATTGAACAATTTTACTTGATTTTAAAACAAAACACTTAAAAATGGTGATGATTTTGAATTGGCAGACGTGTTCACCCTGTTTATTATGTTTACCTTTAAATACCTATAAATTAATTAACCTCTCAGTTATTATATTTGTTTAAGATAATAATGTAATAAATATGTTTTGACAGATCAAAGTGCGTACAGCAGTTTCTTACAGGACTCTCAGGAGCTGGTGTTAAGAGGACATATGCATTAAACTTTTACGACCATAAAAGTCAACTGTCGCCATTCAATATTAAATAAGAAGATGTGGTATGAGTGCCAATCAGACAACTCTCCGTCCAAGTCACAATGTATAAAAAGTTAACAATTATAGGTCAAAGTACGGCCTTCAACACGGAGCCTTGGCTCACACCGAACAGCAAGCTATAAAGGGTCCCCAAAATTACTAGTGTAAAACACCGACCGTGCAAGGGCTGTATAGCCAGTCTAGGTCGTTAAAAACTTCCATTTGTTGTAGTGTAAAACAATTCAAACAGAAAAACCAACGGTCTAATCTATATAAAAAAAAACGAGAAACGAGAAACATCTATGAACCACACCAACAAACGACAACCAATGAACAACAGGCTCCTGCCATCAACAAACAATGGTACTGACCCATTGGTAGTAATATCAACATGAGATTTATGGATGTTTCCCGAATACCTTTCCAAATATGCTCCAGACTGATAATCTAAATACATTAAAAGAACGTTAGAAAGTAGCGAAACCAAATTGACCTATTTCACATCATTACACTTTGCTCATAATAAAAACATATTTGTGGACCGTCTGAGATAACATCTGGCTATAAAAAGTGGAAACATTACATAATATACTGGGATATTATTAAATTTTCATTTTCGTACAAAAAAATATGCAAATTTAAAGATGAACAGTACACTAGTACTTCGGAAACTCGTAACATATCCTTCAATACATAAAGTAAAAAATCCAAGCCAGTTACCCTGTCTCATTAACTTGATTGATTGATTGTTCTCTACTTAACGTCCAGTGATTCAATTTTAGGCTTATACAGAACAAGCGCAAATTAACGTTTAGTCCTAAAGGTACGTTCCTAAAAAGTGAGTCGATCGGAAAAAATGGCAGGAATTTCTACTGTTACTGGAAATTAAAAGTATGTTGGATTGTGACAGAAATATTGCCTATCAACTAACCACCTACAGCTATGTACCAATCAGTGAGTTGTTGCAAGGGTTCCTTCACTTGCAGATGGCGTGGCACGCTCCCTTCAAGAGGCATCGGATTTAACGTCCCAATTCCGACAGGTCGTGGTTGCGTATTAATACATCATACATAGTCAAACGGCCGGCCATCTTTTGTTTTAGTGTTGGAGGTGAGAAGTTAATCTTGGAAATACCTATTACACTTTTCAACTTTCTATTATAGTTTGTGTTCAATTTATATTTGAATGACCATGATAAACATTGGTAATTAACTTTACGATGGATGTAAAAAAAAACACGTTTAATAACATATATATCTTTATTGTCATATAAACATACTTTAGTTTGTGACAAAAAACAGAAAAACAAAAACAAACATAAAATAGCAAAGAAATAACAATTCTATAAGAAATGAACACATAGAAAAAAACTATTAGACTTCTGCCCTCAGTTCTAATGTCTGTTTTATAAAGGAGCTAATAGCTTTTTAACATGTTCCATTTTGTTCTTGGGTAAGAGACATAAAATTATGAAAAGGTAAACAATTTTCAAATAGATTATCCCTTAGTTTTTTGTTAATTTTACATTCAAGGAGGAAGTGTTTTTCAATCCTCCATTAAGTTGCACAGTTTACATATGCTACCCTTTCTAGGAATTTTGTAATGGCGACCCATTTCTATTTCTAAATTATGGTCACTTAATATTCTCAACTTAGTGAAGTATTTACTTATAGAAAAGTCATTGGAAGCTAAATAATAAAACTCCCTATCCAAGTTAAGTTTTAAATTTTTATAAAGTAACAGTTTACTATTTTCATCATTACTATTTATTTATTTTCAAAACTAATTTTATATTTTTCTTTAAATTCATTTCTAATCAAGGGCTTTAAAGAGTTTATTTCATTAAAGTCCCTACAATTATTAACTTTATCTAAAAGGTCTGGGTCGGGTGAAATATTCTTGGCATATGTATACCAAGAATAAGTACCATGCGAGTCCAGCAGTTTTGTCAATATAAATGTTTCTTTAAGTAGAGGATTTATATTTTCAGAATTCAGTCTTCGCCAGTCTTGCCAAGGTCTCTTGTGGAGAGTTGTCTCATTGGCAATCATACCACATCTTCTTTTTTATATTGCTAGGCAAGATAGAGACTGTGAAAAAATTAAATGTTCAAGGAGGAGTCTTCTTAGTTCTGCTCGGACTGCTATTATTTGAAGCTGTTCTTTTGGTGCCCAGCAAAAACTTACAAAATTAATGTCAACCTTTTCGAATTTTCGAGTTTTATCAATAAATGAAATGTGATCAAAGGTAAAAATATTTCTAAATAACTCACATAACGCTGTCCGCTTACACAAAATCAATGTGTATATATGATTTTAGATAAAACAGGTGTACAAATTCTGTATATAAAAATGCTGGTATCTAATTAGTTACATTTACTATTTGTAGACTCGACAATGGTACAAAATTAAACATCCAGTAATATTATTAGACAACAATAATTTAAATTTCATTCAATTTCAATCTTTGCAAAGTCTATATAAAGTTTTACAACCGTAAATATGCTAACGTGAATTTTTCTTAAACATCTCATTGAATAGAAAATTAAGGAATTATCATACCATTGGATTATACCATTGTATGGTAGTATGTACTGTGCCATCGTATATTCATACCCTGTTTTTATACTTCAATACAATACCGCTTAACCACGTCGTGTTTTACAGTATGCCTTAATATATATTTCAATTTTTATGTGTGATCTGAGTCGATGTATTCGAGTACAGAAACCTTTTCAAAATTAATGACTCAGCACCAAATTTGAAGCTATTTTACACAAAAGTTTACTTAAATGACGTATTATGATATTCACACGTAATTAATTCAGTCCGAGACACTTGTGTATTCTTTTTAATTTCGTAGCTTGATGAAACAACCGCTCTGTTAATCGTGTTGTCGAAGTGTGTGTGTGTGTGTTATTTATTACTTCGCTTTTCGTACACTTAAACACATGTAAAAAGAATCAAATGGCCACGGTATCTCATGTTATTCAACTGGTCAAAATAAATTGACAAAAAGAAAAGATTACTTGTCACATATTTATGTGTCTGTCTAAAATACAAAAATAAAATATTTAAAGTTGCCTGAAAGCATCTCCCTCGGTACCCTTTTTTGATCATTTTGGAATTTTGGTTGGCATTAAAACGTCTTTTTGAATTCATTAACGACCAGTCTAAACTAAGGGTGCTTTAGAGTTGGGATTTGATGTGAAAAAAAAACTTTTTATCCGTGAAGGTTGGAATTTGAGACCTAGATAACAAGAAATTTAATTCAGGCTCTGACTATTAATCTTCTTGTTTTTTTGGGGTTTGTAGGGATGAAGGGGGCATTGGTTTTTCTAAACATGCACCCCTTAACATAAGATGAATGGCAGGTGCCTAAATTTTAAAAAAATGCTAACCATCCAGTGGCAAATATTTATGCATATTTAGGATCATTTTAACAATAAACGTAATAGGTAGACTCTGCAAAGTTGGTCAACCAAGACGAAGTGTTGGAAAATTAGACTGAGTGCATTAGTGTTAGACTGGGTGCATTAGTACATGTTGGATTAGGA